AATCCTATCAATACCCTTTTACGATTATTGTTACTTTTTCGAAATAAAAGTAAAAACAAATTTATACTAATTTACTTCAAAATACAAAAGTATTTGACAGCTAAAATTAGTTACTTTAGCAATCCTATCAATACCCTTTTACGATTATTGTTACTTTTTCGAAATAAAAGTAAAAACAAATTTATACTAATTTACTTCAAAATACAAAAGTATTTGACAGCTAAAATTAGTTACTTTAGCAATCCTATCAATACCCTTTTACGATTATTGCTACTTTTTCGAAATAAAAGTAAAAACAAATTTATACTAATTTACTTCAAAATACAAAAGTATTTGACAGCTAAAATTAGTTACTTTAGCAATCCTATCAATACCCTTTTACGATTATTGCTACTTTTTCGAAATAAAAGTAAAAACAAATTTATACTAATTTACTTCAAAATACAAAAGTATTTGACAGCTAAAATTAGTTACTTTAGCAATCCTATCAATACCCTTTTACGATTATTGTTACTTTTTCGAAATAAAAGTAAAAACAAATTTATACTAATTTACTTCAAAATACAAAAGTATTTGACAGCTAAAATTAGTTACTTTAGCAATCCTATCAATACCCTTTTACGATTATTGTTACTTTTTCGAAATAAAAGTAAAAACAAATTTATACTAATTTACTTCAAAATACAAAAGTATTTGACAGCTAAAATTAGTTACTTTAGCAATCCTATCAATACCCTTTTACGATTATTGTTACTTTTTCGAAATAAAAGTAAAAACAAATTTATACTAATTTACTTCAAAATACAAAAGTATTTGACAGCTAAAATTAGTTACTTTAGCAATCCTATCAATACCCTTTTACGATTATTGTTACTTTTTCGAAATAAAAGTAAAAACAAATTTATACTAATTTACTTCAAAATACAAAAGTATTTGACAGCTAAAATTAGTTACTTTAGCAATCCTATCAATACCCTTTTACGATTATTGTTACTTTTTCGAAATAAAAGTAAAAACAAATTTATACTAATTTACTTCAAAATACAAAAGTATTTGACAGCTAAAATTAGTTACTTTAGCAATCCTATCAATACCCTTTTACGATTATTGCTACTTTTTCGAAATAAAAGTAAAAACAAATTTATACTAATTTACTTCAAAATACAAAAGTATTTGACAGCTAAAATTAGTTACTTTAGCAATCCTATCAATACCCTTTTACGATTATTGCTACTTTTTCGAAATAAAAGTAAAAACAAATTTATACTAATTTACTTCAAAATACAAAAGTATTTGACAGCTAAAATTAGTTACTTTAGCAATCCTATCAATACCCTTTTACGATTATTGTTACTTTTTCGAAATAAAAGTAAAAACAAATTTATACTAATTTACTTCAAAATACAAAAGTATTTGACAGCTAAAATTAGTTACTTTAGCAATCCTATCAATACCCTTTTACGATTATTGTTACTTTTTCGAAATAAAAGTAAAAACAAATTTATACTAATTTACTTCAAAATACAAAAGTATTTGACAGCTAAAATTAGTTACTTTAGCAATCCTATCAATACCCTTTTACGATTATTGTTACTTTTTCGAAATAAAAGTAAAAACAAATTTATACTAATTTACTTCAAAATACAAAAGTATTTGACAGCTAAAATTAGTTACTTTAGCAATCCTATCAATACCCTTTTACGATTATTGTTACTTTTTCGAAATAAAAGTAAAAACAAATTTATACTAATTTACTTCAAAATACAAAAGTATTTGACAGCTAAAATTAGTTACTTTAGCAATCCTATCAATACCCTTTTACGATTATTGTTACTTTTTCGAAATAAAAGTAAAAACAAATTTATACTAATTTACTTCAAAATACAAAAGTATTTGACAGCTAAAATTAGTTACTTTAGCAATCCTATCAATACCCTTTTACGATTATTGTTACTTTTTCGAAATAAAAGTAAAAACAAATTTATACTAATTTACTTCAAAATACAAAAGTATTTGACAGCTAAAATTAGTTACTTTAGCAATCCTATCAATACCCTTTTACGATTATTTACTTTTTCGAAATAAAAGTAAAAACAAATTTATACTAATTTACTTCAAAATACAAAAGTATTTGACAGCTAAAATTAGTTACTTTAGCAATCCTATCAATACCCTTTTACGATTATTGTTACTTTTTCGAAATAAAAGTAAAAACAAATTTATACTAATTTACTTCAAATACAAAAGTATTTGACAGCTAAAATTAGTTACTTTAGCAATCCTATCAATACCCTTTTACGATTATTGTTACTTTTTCGAAATAAAAGTAAAAACAAATTTATACTAATTTACTTCAAATACAAAAGTATTTGACAGCTCTAAAATTAGTTACTTTAGCAATCCTCAATACCCTTTTACGATTATTGTTACTTTTCGAAATAAAAGTAAAAACAAATTTATACTAATTTACTTCAAAATACAAAAGTATTTGACAGCTAAAATTAGTTACTTTAGCAATCCTATCAATACCCTTTTACGATTATTGACTACTTTTTCGAAATAAAAGTAAAAAACAAATTTATACTAATTTACTTCAAAATACAAAAGTATTTGACAGCTAAAATTAGTTACTTTAGCAATCCTATCAATACCCTTTTACGATTATTGCTTACTTTTTCGAAATAAAAGTAAAAACAAATTTATACTAATTTACTTCAAAATACAAAAGTATTTGACAGCTAAAATTAGTTACTTTAGCAATCCTATCAATACCCTTTTACGATTATTGTTACTTTTTCGAAATAAAAGTAAAAACAAATTTATACTAATTTTACTTCAAAATACAAAAGTATTTGACAGCTAAAATTAGTTACTTTAGCAATCCTATCAATACCTTTTACGATTATTGTTACTTTTTTCGAAATAAAAGTAAAAACAAATTTATACTAATTTACTTCAAAATACAAAAGTATTTGACAGCTAAAATTAGTTACTTTAGCAATCCTATCAATACCCTTTTACGATTATTGTTACTTTTTCGAAATAAAAGTAAAAACAAATTTATACTAATTTACTTCAAAATACAAAAGTATTTGACAGCTAAAATTAGTTACTTTAGCAATCCTATCAATACCCTTTTACGATTATTGTTACTTTTCACGAATAAAGTAAAAACAAATTTATACTAATTTACTTCAAAATACAAAAGTATTTGACAGCTAAAATTAGTTACTTTAGCAATCCTATCAATACCCTTTTACGATTATTGTACTTTTTCGAAATAAAAGTAAAAACAAATTATACTAATTTACTTCAAAATACAAAAGTATTTGACAGCTAAAATTAGTTACTTTAGCAATCCTATCAATACCCTTTTACGATTATTGTTACTTTTTCGAAATAAAAGTAAAAACAAATTTATACTAATTTACTTCAAAATACAAAAGTATTTGACAGCTAAAATTAGTTACTTTAGCAATCCTATCAATACCCTTTTACGATTATTGTTACTTTTCGAAATATAAAGTAAAAAACAAATTTATACTAATTTACTTCAAAATACAAAAGTATTTGACAGCTAAAATTAGTTACTTTAGCAATCCTATCAATACCCTTTTACGATTATTGCTTTTTCGAAATAAAAGTAAAAACAATTTATACTAATTTACTTCAAAATACAAAAGTATTTGACAGCTAAAATTAGTTACTTTAGCAATCCTATCAATACCCTTTTACGATTTTGCTACTTTTTCGAAATAAAAGTAAAAACAAATTTATACTAATTTACTTCAAAATACAAAATATTTGACAGCTAAAATTAGTTACTTTAGCAATCCTATCAATACCCTTTTACGATTATTGCTACTTTTCGAAATATAAATAAATTTTATTATCAAAAACTTTTTTTTCTTAGTAAAAATAAACGAAATTTTTTACCTTATGAACTTTTGATGGAAATATGCAAATTTAAAATAATAAAGAAAGCCGCGAGCGAAGCGATCGGCTTAGTTCGAAGATTTTGATTCAAATCTTTGCTGATCTGTAATTCGCGGAAGCCGCGAGCGAATCGAGCGGCTTAGGTCTAAGATTTTGATTCAAATCTTTGCTTATATTCCTTAAATTCTTTATGAAACTCGCAACAGTTCCATAAAAAATTTTAAATTCTCAACTGTCGAAATTACCGATCGGTAATCACACCCCTCACGGGTGTGTCACTTTTTACAGGCGTGTCGCTTTTAGCTAAAATTACCCCTACTCGAACTTTTTTGGATTCATACTCATAAAGATAAGTGAAAATAATGATGATTTTATTAATAATTGAATTAAGTACCTTATGAATTGAATGTAGATATATAAAAGTTAAAGTTCCTTGTTGTCAAATAAACAAATGTTATTTCGCAATTAAATTTTTTGTTTATTGATTGAATAATCTGAAACAAAAACAGTTTATTCAGAAAATCGGAAAGTTGATTATTAGACTATATTGTACTGGTCATTTAATATTAGATTTTGGAATTTTTGTTCAACTATGATAATTTCAATGCTCCTTTACAAATATTTTATATGACACTTTTATTTTGAGACTGAATTTCATAAAAACCAATTTTGGTAGAGCTTTTTTTCTTCTTTCCTGATCTATTATGCATATGTTGATACAAATTCATTTGTAATTCATATTTTTTACAAAGGAAATTTCGGAAATTAGTTTAAGCTATATTTTTTTGTAAGTAATCGTATTAGTTATCAAAATTACATCATTATCATAGATTTAATTTTTCCAAATTTTTCTTAAAATTCAAAGTAATTATCTAGAATTTTCAATTTATTTTTTCTTTTTCGAAATTTTTTTGGAAATTCTTTCTGGAATAGGAGTGAGTGAAATGCATTATACAAGATGTCAATGAGTGTGAAAAGTTGTTTTTAGAAAAAGAAAAAATTATAAAATAATATCTGAGAATTTTTAATACACACAAAGATTTATACGATGCAATGAAACAAGACTACTCTTCTTCTTCGTCAGTTTTTGAGAAAGTCTTGAATCTCTGTATAACTTTCAATGAAGCTGAAGGTGTTCTCTTAATGATAGTGTAATCAAAGGATCCGATGGTATGTCGTAGTTCTTGAAGCTCAATTTCGTCAAATAAAGTTGGGAAGTCGATAATATAAGCATTTCCAGATTCAGTAAGTTCAACAGAGCCACAGTGAGGTAAACTTCTGAATAATGCTTTATCATCAACTCCTTCTGGTAAATTTGTAACTAAAAATCGAATTGGTCCTTTTTTATGTTTCGTTTTTTCTTTCTGGTTTGTTCCGTCTAAATATGGCTTAAGACGAGCTACGGCCATTTCAACGGACTCTTCAATTGGTGAATAAAATCTTTTGCCTGTAAAATAGGATTCTGGGATTGTATTTACTTGTAAATAGAAGTTCTGTAAGCTTAGCGTTGAAACAACAAATAACTTTTTGTTTTCGTCTTGAATTTCATTTGAATGAATTTCGTAGATGCAATTTGACGTTGGTAATAGGGTATGGAGTTGCTCTGAAGTAATATCTTTCGAAACATAGCCTAATAACATCAAGTCTTTCCCGTATCTTTGTTTGACCAAATCATTGATGGAAATTTCGATATTTTCTTCGATATATCCGAATATAATCATATCAGAGTTAAATAATTCAATAGGCAAACTCATGAGTTCGTTATCAGGTTTATGTTTCGAATCTTCAAATTTGGCAACAAATGCATGGTGTTGATCATTATTCAATGTACCAAGCCTTGGATCGATTTCAACAGAAATACAATGAGGTAAATGAGATTTGATTTGATCAGGAGTGACTTCAGGTTTCAAATCAATAATTATAACACCATTATGATGATTAGTGTGTTTCTGAAATGGTGTCATGATTTTGATACCTCTATTTAATTTGATGTTCTGCGATTTCGATGTGGCAGTTTTAGATGACATCAAATTTTGTGGCTAATTTTTTTTTCGCCAAAATTTTTAGAATGAATTTTTATCATGGAAATATGTTAAAGAATGTAATCGTCAAGGTTTCGTAGCTCAGTAGGTAGAGCGTAGTGCTGATAACGCTAAGGTCTTGGGTTCGAGCCCCAGCGGAACCATTTTTTATTTTTCAAAATCATAAATTGTTGTTTTTTGGTGAGAATAACTTTTTTCCAAGTTTATTCCAATCCTGATATCCTAACCTAAATGGATCTCTAATGATTTAAAAAGAGAAATGTTAAAATCGTTTGTAACTTCGGTGAAAATTCTCGGTCAAATCACGATAATTTCTTTTCAATTTTTATTGAAAAAATAGCTTTGAAAACACATTCAATTTTCTGTCGGTAAAGATTGCAATAAACGAAATCATTATTATCAATGATTCCAATGCTATTCACCTATACAGGTCTTGCAATGGCCTCATCACGCCCCGCGTTATCGAGTTCGATAAATATAGGAGGAAAAAAGATTCAGAGTGATAACGAAAATTCGACGTCTGGAATGCCACCACCGCCTCCAAGCGGCAATAACACATCAGGAATGCCACCATTTGGAGGTCCTGGAGGAAATTCTAGCTCAGGAATGCCTCCAGGAGGACCAGGCGGCAACAATACTGGAATGGGACCAGGCAGTGGAGGAATGGGTCCTGGAAGTGGATGAATGGGCCCTGGAAGCGGAAGCAGTGGTTCTGGAAGCGGTGGTATGGGCCCAAGTGGTGGATACGGCGCCAATCAGACAACAAACACTGATAACACATCATCCGGATCTAGCTCAAAGTCTTCTTCGAGTTCAAACTCTCTCAAGCTAGGTCTTTCGATTGGTATCCCGCTATTTGTAGCAATTGTAATTGGTGCAGTAATCATAGCAGTTGTAATTACATGCAAGAGAAACGGATACAATCCTAGCAAAGATATCACCGTAATGGATCCATAATAAGGGTTTCCATTAAGTAAATTGACAATTATACTCATTTCAATAACTATTTTATTCTTTAATTCATATATTTTCTTAAAATTATTTTGATGAAATTTTATTTTATATAAGTTTTGATGTCTGTAAACCTTCCAAAAGACATAACAAGAAGTCCATTATTTAAAATTCGGTTCGTATTAGTAAAAAAGAAGTTTTGATTATTAAGTATTAGGCATTCAAAAAAAAGACATTTACTCATCCTTCTGCTTGATCATCTTAAGGATTTCGGACTCACCAGCATCAATGATGGAGATGACTGAGGAGCGGAAATACTTACCACAAGCTGTGCCAAGATCAACATTGTCGCCATCGAATGGGAGGATATCGCAACCAGAGAGCATAGCGTAGTACTCAATAAGGGAACGGTGAGCTGGGGCAACGTTTGATGCGAAGATAACAAGCTTGGCCTCGCCATTGCGGAGAGACTTAAGTGTCTGAGAAATGCCGAGGGAGTACTTGCCGGACTTTGTGACAAGAGAGAGGGAGTTGATGATTGATTCGCGTGCGCGGCTTAATTTCTTACGGCCCATGTTGCAAAAGGTCGAACTACGATTATTTTCTTCTGAAAATCCTGGAGCGACCAAATCTTGGCACTTGCAAAAGCTTCTCAGGACTTATCAAATATAGAATATGCACTGCATTTAAAGACGATTTTACGTATAAAGTATAAGCATTCGTAGAGATAATTTTTTCATCAAATTCAAAAATTGGTCATATTTAGTTCTTCTCTCAATATAATAGAAATATGGCTATAAAAGATAGAATTCTTCTGAAAATGGCCTGCCATGCTGCTTTATGGTGCTTGATATTTTTAAAGAAGTTTAAGATATCAATTGAAGCTAAACCAATATAACACATAATATATACAATTTAATTCTTAAATATATTTCATTAATATACTAGCATACATAATATTTTATTTACCACAAAAGATAATCTATATACAATCTAACATCCATGCTATTAGGACCACAAATATAAAGTCTATTATTTGTTCTGAAGATATCGTCTCTATTTCTAGGACAATATGTGTGCCAAAGTGAAGCAGATTGAGAAACATTAACATTGATACAGAGAAAATCAATTGAATTAACAAATCCACCTTTGTTTCCATGCATTGCCATTGCCCACCATCCATATCTTGATCCAAATGTATGAATGACGTGTTTGGATGAAACTAATTTGCGAAGACCGCAAACAAATGTATTATCATCGGTAACTTTATAATCTTCTGCAACATTATTGGAAATTATAGAACTTTGAGAGTTTGTTACCATTAATATTTTTTCTGTTGCTCCGCATCGGCCAATGTAGCGTTGAAAGCCACCAGGTGTAAGTACTGAGTAATCCTCAAATTTCTTGGCTTCAACACCATAATCAGTAAACTGATTTATGCAATTTAATAATGTTTTTTCCTCTGAACCGAATAAATAATTGCCAAGGAAGTAAGCAGCATGAAAACCGAAATTATTTCTAAGGTAAGGAGCTACTACTTCGTGTGTATACATCACTTGAGGCCAAGTTATATTTTTAATTATTAATTGTGGATGTGCATTACTAATATTGGCGCAGCCGAATCTGTAATCTGTATCTAATTCAAAACCATTGATAATATCGGTGCTATTCTGCAAATCTTGGATTGATTTTGGTAAATCAAAAGGGAAAAGATCTTTTCTAACGTAAACTAATCTATCTGTTGCCATTGCAATCGATAATCCCTGATATAACATTGACATTCTATCTTCTCTTTCGTATTTTTCCGTAAATAATAATACGCTTCCTTTTGTTTTTCCTGATTTAACCAATTCTTCGTACTTTTTTATTGAATTATATGCTCTGGTTATTTCATAACATGATACTTCGCTTGAAGAATTCGTACAATTAATATAACCAGCAGACCATGTTGGTAATTTCATATATTTCTCAGCTTTACTGACTAAATCAATAGAAACATTACGTTTTATTATTGGAAATGTCATATCAAAAGTGATTTCAACATCTTCATCTTCTTGATTTTCTTTTTTATAAACAAATGAGTGAGAAATTATTTGTCTTCCACCAATAATGTTCTGTAATACAGCAAGAGCAAGGAGTGTTATTGCGAGAGAAAGCTTTAAAACTACGCTTGCTTGCATTGACGATTATTTTCGAATCAAATTTTATTCAGCTCCATTGCGATTGATTTAGTTCAAAATCAACTAAGTATAGTGATCATTATCTGAATTTAGAGTTGTTGCTTCACTGAACCCAATGTATAATGCATTTCATCCGATAATGGAGGAAAGATATATCCAAATATGAGTGATTGACTTAAATCATCTCTATCACTGGCAAAACACGTCAAAATACTGCTAAATAGGAATGATTATCTCCTTATACTCATTGAAATCGGATTAGCAAATTTTAAAAATATGTTTTAAAGGGACCATTTGTAAGAGACATATAGCATGCACACAAAGTACACTCTATTTTCAATTCCAAATTCCGAAATTGTAAGATTACCCGAGGAGCGAAAAAAACGGAGGACGATAATAACTGTCGCTTGACGTTAATTCAAGAAGATAATGAATAGTTCTGAGCACAAAATGTCTAGGAAGAGCACACCACATAATTCTAGGACAACAAATAGTACTAGAACTTCAAACGAGCACTTTAGTCATTCAAAATCTTCAATAAAATCAAGCCAAAAATCCTTATCTTCAGTTAAAAAACAAGAAACGAAATCAGATAACGAAGAATACTATTCTAACGAATATTACTCATATTCATCAAATCCGGAACCTCCAGAAGAAAATAAATCGAAGTCGAAATCATCTATTCAATCACCAAAAGCGCCATCAAATAGATCTGCAAAGAAAACAGCTTCAGTTCGCGATATACTAGTTTCAGGTCAATCTAGTTCTATTCAAACAGACTCAATATACACACATAGTTTTCATGGAAAGGTAGACTCTCCAAAACCACAAGGACCACCTCCACTAAAGAGAACATTCATCGACGAATCTTCAGATTCAGATGATTTTGGAGAAATTGACGACATAAATGAGTCGCATTCACATGCTTTTGTTTATAGAAAACCAGAATGGAAATTCCCTGTGAAGAGAGTTACCAGGAATGAAGATGAAGGTCTTTATGATACATTGCGTGAAAGATTTTCTGTTAAGAATATTGTATCCAAACTGAAGAGAACACAATAGACTTATTTATATAGACCTTGTTTATCTTTTCATCTATTAGATATCTTTTTATATTTGAACTTTAATTGTTAATAAATTCCTAATGTTTATAATTCTATTAACTAGCTATGGCCAAAAAGTTTTACACGCAGCTTTTTATGATAACCACTTAGCTATATAAGAATCGAAAAAAAATCATCGAAAATAATTTTTGTCTTCTGACCAAATAGGTAACAAATCTTATCTTAATTAAACAAAGAAAACAACCTACTCATAAATTTCATTATTATTAAGAAGATATTGATGAATCTGATATCTCTAAGTTATTTCTTTTTGATTTCATGTGATTTTCATGTAAATATAATTATTGTTTTAATCATAAAAGCAGCTTACTCCTTACCAGCCTTCTTTGGACGGATGGACTTGCAATGTCCGCATTGTTTGTGACGGCATTGCTGGGCACGCTCGGAAAGGCGGGCATAGCACTTGCGGCAGACAGAACGCTTAACGTTTGTCTTTTCGGCAAGAATACGAAGGGATGGTTCGTAAGCTTCCTTACCACCACCACGAAGACGAAGAACAAGGTGGAGTGTAGAATCTTTCTGGATAGAGTAGTCCTGAAGTGTGTTGCCATCTTCGAGCTGCTTACCAGCGAAGATAAGACGCTGCTGGTCCGGAGGAATACCTTCCTTATCCTGGATCTTAGCCTTAACGTCCTCAATACGGTCTGTTGGCTCGACTTCGAGGGTGATGTGCTTGCCTGTCAATGTCTTGACGAAGATCTGCATCGCAAAAAGGAAGGACCGACCAGACCCCTCAATTTTTTGTAAACACGAACTAGACCCAATATAAATAAATTTGATATTTTGAACATACTACTGCTGTATATTAATTTTACTTTTGGAATTATGGGAAATCTAACGATGCGAATTTCAATTCGAATTGTTCTTTGAGTTTGAAGGCTAATATTGCACTAACAAATATATTTTTTCGTGACAAAACATAATCAAAGGAGAAGAGAACTAGAACAGCGAACAATTTCCACCCAATTGAAACATCAGATGTTATAATACAATGTAATTGTAAACATAAGATAGTCGACTTAAAAATAGATCGTTTATAAACAATAATAACAATAGTATTTATTAACAAAAAAAAATATACAAAAATAAATTTAAAATCCTAGACCAGAAAATGAGGTCTTCGGCTTTGATCCTGCTGGCTTATTGTGTTTGGCTGATATTGTCGGCTTGATACTCATAGATATATTTAATTTCTTCAAATTATTTTGAGGAATTTCAACAGGTTCAATTGCGGACTCAACATCAAGCGTCGTAATAAAAGTGTCATTCCATGGAAGAGGTGGAAAATCAGAATCACCTGCTTGAAATGGCAAAAATTTATTATTTTCCATTGTTCTGAATTTACAAATGAGATTAGCAATTTTAAGCGTGAAATCTTTTGACATCTTGGTTAAAGATGATGCTAATGATGTGTATGCAACTGGATAATGAAGGAAAACTGATGTCGTCATTTCTTCAGTGAGTAATTCGACTAAATTCGCTGAAATGTCTTGAACATCAATAAGTATATTAAATAGAGCGATTAATCGCCATTGAACTGAGTGAAAAGTTTTCTTATTCATTAATTTTTCGACAGAACATGCAGAAGTAGCTATTGAGTAGAAATTATCTTTAATATTGAGTTTTTTAATCTTATTAAGTGATTGTCTAAGCTTTTTAAGTGTTGAAACGTACTTGAATGAACGAATTTGATATCTTGATGTAGAAAATATCTTATTCATTAGGTCAGATTCTGATTTTATAGTGTTGAATAAAGGCTCGTCATGAGAAAATTCAAGTAATAGCTTCGTGAGGTAATTTAATTGTTGGAGTGGTGGTTTTTTGAATTCTATCCTTGCCGTTTCAATATTATCTCTGTTGGGATCTGTAAACCATTTGTTGATAGATATTCTGAGAACATTTTTCTGAGAAATCAGATATTCCATCTAAAATCTCAATAAATGCAAAAATAATCGTTTTAAATTCAATTCATTGTGCCTTGTTGAAAACATGTTAAATAAGATCTCATTGAATTAACAAGAAGATTTTGATAAAGAATTTACTTTTTCAGCTTGAATCAGATGTTGATAAAGGGAATTTAGCAAAGAAATCAATTGTAAATGAGTCTATTGCATCTAAAGAAGAAGTATCTCGATTTGCGCGTCCATATGATACTTTTCAAGAAGAATTGTCAATTTTCGTATTTTTTATTTCAATGTATTTCAAGCTTGGACCGCCAATTGATAAAACAGTTATACTGACAATTGATGCAAATGCAACGATTTCGCAAGTAAAGCATAGTCTTTCAAAAATTACACTTATTCCTGCAGAATGCACTCAAATTAAGTTTAATGATGCTGTTTTAAAGCAGAATAAAAAGGTAAAATCAATAAAATCTTCTGAAGAACAACCTTTAATATGTGATTTTTATTTTATTAAAGGAGATAACCCTAAAGATTTAAATGAACCTCCACCAGATTTCGTTAGAAAGGTAGAGTTCATTGCTAATATGGGCTTTAATGTTAGGGATGTTTATGCCGCCTTAGTACAAGAAAATTATGACATGGAACAAGCTCTTTCAACATTACAAACAAAATCTGTTATCAAAACTCCAAATATCCCAGATACCGAAGAAGTTCCAAAATTAACACTCGAGGAGAATATTGAACCACAAGAAACTAATAAACAAATTGATTTAAATTATATTGCTTCTCGCGTCAGTGATTTAATAACTACTACATCTTCCAATGAACCTGTTCTTACAATTACTGATGAATTACCTAACATTGAAGATATAACGGATTTCAAACAATTAATTCGCCATCTTAACGCTCATTTACCTGATTATACGTTAGACTCGAAGGCCTTGGTCAAAGAATTCCGTGAAAAGAATGGAGATTTCGATGAATTAGCTGCATCTTTTCCTGGATTTACGAAGGGATATTTGAACTGGGTCCTAAATACCATTGGAAGGAAGATGGCAGGAAGATTATCAAATCCAACCAAATGGACAGTTGATGAAGAAAGATTTTTACTAGAAATGTACCATCTCGGCGTTGTTGGCAAGAAAGTTGATTTAGCATTGAATAAGAAGCCGAATGAATCCACTCACAAGTGGAAAAGTATCAGAAAATTCTTGAATAATACTCATTTACTTGAATGCTTTACAAGCGGAGCTCCAAACTGCAGTATTTTCGATGCTGTTTATGATGAACATGGATTGCCAAGGTATTTGATCAATCTTTGTAACATTATCAAATTTAATGGAGTTATTACTCAAGATACAGCTTGGAAACTTAGAGATAAAATCCAAGGTCCTGAAAAAATCGATGGAGCACATTTCTTTACAAAACCGGCTCAAAATCCTTCGGTCATCACCACAAATCCACCTCCACCTCCTCCTCCGGCAGCCGCTGAAGCTGAACCTAAGAAAGAAATCAAAGAAGCAAAGGTAACAACAATAGAAATACCAATCCAGAAGAACCAAATTTAGTCCAAATTAAAGAAAAAGAAAAAAGTACTGACAATAAGAAACCCGAACAAACTCATAAGAGAAAATCAAAACCTAAGAAATCTGATAAGAAAGATTCTCAAATTGAGGAAAATGAAGCTATCGATCCACCAAAAATCATTGATGAAGCTTAAGGTCTAATTATACACTCATGCCTATCATTGCAATATAATCATGTTACTTATTTATCTCAATTTCAAATTTTTTCAATTTCAATTTTTTTAGAAGCATATAATCAGTCTAGACGGAGTTCGGTAGCATTCAAGTCTTCTTAATTTGTATTATTATATGTTTAGAATAAATGTATTGTTTAATAATTTCTTTTCATTCAAATATTCATCTTTGTATTGAGGTTTTTGACTAAACATTGAGCAGTACAGTATCTATTGAGATTGTCTAACTTGTAGCCGGTTACTTTTAAGATAAGACTATCTGATAGAAAGTGAAATGATGTCACTTTTGCCAAAATTTTGGAAGATAATTTATGAGTTTTTCGTATATCCGATTTCCAAAACTCACAATAACAGACGAAGAACTTCAAAAAATCGAATCTTTTCGTCTTTTCGTAACTCAAATCATTAGAGAAGAGAAATTTATTATAGATTTTAAAGGTCAAAAAGAGTTTTCATCAGATACAATATGCAAATTCCCATTTATTAAGGATTTGAAGACAGGATTTACAATTGTTTTATCAAATGAAGAGAATTCTATAGAATATGCACGATTAGCGTTACCTGTATCATGGTTTGAAAAGAACACTGTAGTCACACAAGAATTTCACATGATTTCAGTTGAAAAGAATAAAGAAGTCGCTGATATTACCGTTCAAGTTCATATAAGTGAAAATGGCTCACTTCCTTATCAAGCAGAAGAAGGAAAACTACTTGGAGTATTGACAACAGCTCCTGATCGCTCTAATCTCCCTAATATTCCTAATTTTGCGTTCCAATCTCCTCCACAAGCTCCTCAACCAGTACAACAACAACAAAGACCAACAATGCAACAAGAACCTCAACAGCCAGCTCCAACACCACAGCAAACCCAGCAATTACCTCCACAAAATATTCCAAATCAAAATCAACAGCAACAATATCCTGCACAACCTCCAATGGGTTACAGAGTTGTTAATCAACCATATTTACAGCCATCTCAGATCCCACAACAATACATTTACCCTGGACAACCTCAATTTGTCCAACAACCACCTCAAGCTTACATGCAACCACAGCCAATGCCTCAGCAATATATACAATACCCATATCCGCAACAACAAATGCCTCAACAAGGACAAATCCAACAACCCCAGATTATTTACGTACAAGCACCTCCTGGATACCCATTTCCCCAACAAGGCTTCATCCCACAACAGCCCGTACAGCTTCCAAATGGAACTATCGCTTACACTTATCCTTCTCCGTATCCAACATATCCTTACCCACAAAACCAAATGAATCAGCAGCAGAACGTTGTAAAACGCAAGAAGAAACGAGTTGTAAAGAAATCTTCCCATCAAGAGCCAGCACAGGAAGAAATTCAAGAACAAGAAATTGAACAACCATCAACTCAAGAAAATCCACAATGAATTATTATGTATTTTTATACTTTTATTGTTTTTGTAGTTATAAAAAATTAAATTTGTATCAAATTTAAATTTTTCTCACTAGATAACGCACAAAGATCTAAATTTGCTTTAATGTATTAGTTGATGTGACCAATCATTGTGATATAGTACCTGGAAACGCTTCACAAAGAACTAAAATCTGGTCAAAAAAAGATTTCATGATATTTTCTATCCCCAAATACTTTTCGCAGAAGTCTATGTACGCATGCTAAAAATGGCTACCTTAGATTCCTGTCTTAGCTCAAATACAAAATCAGGACAATTTATTTTCGATGTAGATTGAAAGCTAACATTTTCCACTTCCAAACTGTATGTAAAGCAATAATTGAATTAAAAATAATCGTAGTTCATCTTCTCAATTTTTATTTATTGGAAATCTAAATCAAATTTCCACAGAGAACGCAAACTAGATTTTCCAATAATATGCGAGAAACTAACATGATTCAATACTATGAACTTCATATTCAACAAAATAAATCAAATAACAAAGAAATTTGCAACATCAACGAAGTTTTTCAGAATATTACGACACAAACGATTATATTAATCAAACAGAAAACGAAACTATATCAAACAGTGGCAATTATTACATTCATTATGCTATATTTTCTTTCCATTATCAAAATCGAGCGATTTACCTTAAATCTCTCAGCAAAGTATTACTTGAAACATGCACGTTTTACAACAATAGCTCAACAGAATCCGGTGGATCATTCTATATCGAGGATTCTGAGAGTGTTTTAGTTCATATTTGTTGTTCTCTCTCAACAACAACTAATTGGGGATGTGCTTATTACGTCAATTCACTTTCTAATAGTAATTACAAAAATTATGCATTTGAATGTTCAATTTCAGAATGCAACGGAAAAACAAGTGGATATGGAGGTTCATTTTGGAATGATCGAGGAGATATCCAATTAAGTAATATAAATACATCTTATAACAAAATTCCTGAGATTGCTGCATATGCAAGTCAACTACCAACAGGAACAGGAATTTTGAAATTCATAACAGCTTCAAATACATCTTCTACAAAATATTCTGGAATTTACAATGATGGTAAATATAGTATTACAAAATGTAATTATTTAAACAATGAATATACAGGAAGTGATTATGCAATAATTTATTCTTCTGGTTCAACTTCATATTCAAATTGTTCATTCATAGGAAATAAAGGAAATTATTTATTTTCATCTAAACCACAATCTGTTGATAATTGTTACTTTCATGAAAACACTTTCACTCAAACTGTAAAATATGATCCAATTACATACCAATCAATCAATCCATTAGATTCTGCCATATCTCATTATACCACAGATAACTGTCTAGGTACATATTTTTATCCAAATTTAGAAGAAAACAAAGATGATTCATATAAAAAACATGATGATGACGAGTTAGATCTCGAAGACATCAAACATATTGCTATTAATGTTTACAAAACATCATTTTGTGAAGTAATAAACGCATCTTCTTTATTATAATTCATATACCTTTTTTCATCTGAATTGATACCATTATATGAATCAAAATATATAAGCTACCGCTATTCTAGAGTTATAATTATTATTTTTTTAGTATATATTGCTCAAGATGTCTCTTGAAATACTCACAAACCATATTTCGTATATTGCCTTAGAGAATTCGCGTAATTCATTTATTATGTTCTATATATGAGAATAATTTTTTTTTACATAGATGTATTTGTATTGATACAATGCACCTATACTAATTATATACCTTAGTTAATATGTATACATATTGCAATTGGAAATTTCTTTATTAGCTCTTAAGATGAAAAGATAGAAGTATTTTATCCAATATGTTACGGGTGTGAAGAGAAATTTCCACCATAAGAATATTGTAATTTCATACTATCTATTATCATAACCTAATAAAACAAGATAATAATTATAAACAAAATTTAGATTATTTAAAAAACAAACAAAATAAAAATAAAATTTCAAACAATAACAATAAAAACAAGATCGAAACTTCAATAAAAAGTCTCAATACGAGTAACAGGACGCGAGGTCACATAAGTTCTGATTCTAGAAATTTGAGACAATTTGTCCGTACCGTTGTAGATAGTCAAAATAGGGTGACCAGATGGAATTGCATCTCTAGAAGAGTCTAAAATTCGCATCGATGTCTTCCTATTCGTTGTTGCGATTGAGGCTACTTTTGGCATTTGGGAGATTTGGAGTTGTTTGTTCTCATTCGCAATCTTTGAGTAAGGTACAATCTGAACATCCGCACGGGTAAACTTAGAGTTGATTGGCAATTTGATGGCTTTATAATCATTGGAACCGAAAACGGCAAGAACAGCAGATTTCGTAAGGGTTAATAGTTTTTCTTCAAACTGATACATATAACCTGCGTTAAGCGGTGAACTTGTTCTGACAAATAAAGTCAGTTCATTTAGTTTCATAAATTTCTCAAAAGCGGCTTCTCCGAATACGTAACGAGAATTCCTTTGGTAATAGTCTTTTATATGTGTCGATGGCTCGCTGAAAAAGATTCCGAGATTTGACGAGTCAATAGTAGTAAGTGGACGTTGAACGCTTAAAAGCTGTTGAACTTGAGTAAATTCAGGAAATAGACCTCCATGAATGCAAAATATGTTTTGGAAGAAAATTGCTGCTATAGGAAGATAAGAAAAAGCGGTCATAAATCGATCGAAAAGGTTTGTAGATTGAGGATAGTATTCTTGAATCTCATTGAAGAATGTTCGACCCTTTGCTACTTGTTCAAATTCGTTCTTTCCGCGGATAATGTAAATATTTCTTGGGTAAACGACCTTTAAGGCTAAAATGAAAGTAATTGTTTCGAGGGAAAAGTCTCCGTCATCAATCATATTGCCTAAAAAGCAATATGTTCTTGTTGGCGGTAAACCGAATCTTGATAATATACCGTATAATTGAAAGATATCGCCTTGTAAAGCTCCAATTAATATTACCGGGGCAAAAAGATTTAATATAACAAGTTCGCTTTGAATTATATTGGTTGCATTTTCTAGAAGTTCATTCAGATCTGCCTCTTCAAAGAAAGGCATGTTGACTGTCGAATTCGTATTGGGTATGGGAGTAAATTCGTGTCTCATATTGACTAAATGTGTACGTACAATATTGGATATAATTGGAGGGATAGGCATAAATTATTTAATATTGCGTGTATCTCAAATTTAATTTCAGAAAAAATAAACCTCTCTCACAATTTGGAAACAATATTGTAGATAATTAGTAAAGGTTTACAAAATAGGAAAATTTCCAATTGTAGATTCGCGGTTTTGTTAATAAATTGGTATTGAAAAATTGAGATTGAGAAATCCTCGTTATTTAATTTTTGATTTATAATTATAAAGTTAATAGAACTAAAATTTTGTTGAATTAGAAACTTTTCTATATTCTATAATTTGTCGGTTAAGTATTGAAAAGTTTCTAATTTTGAAAAGATTTAAATTCTGATGCATGCATATTAAATTTGGCTGATAAGCGTTTTTTCAGCAAAATTATTATAGAAATTTTCTTATGATTTTAGTAAAAATAGTAAGACAACTTATTCATAAATGATTTAAGCATATTAAAATTTTTAAAAAGTTGAGTTCGAAATTGACTACAAATTCTTGTCCATTGTTTTTTCTGGTGAATTGTGTTTAACATCATATCTAATATTCTTTTCGATAACTATTTCATTCGATTGAGAGATCATTTTTTAAAGTATAAATTCATTTTAAAATTTTGGCATTCATTCTATAAATATTAAAATTTATAAACTCGATGTAAATATCTAAAAAATATTTCATACAATTTTGTAAATTAATCTTCATCATTAATATTATATTGATATTGCATTCAAATATTTTAAATTTCTTTACATAAGATTAAGAACTTTTTCAATGAAAGGGGAAAATTCATGTAAATTCGATTTAAAAACGATTCTGGTTCATGATGATATTTCTTCATAGATACTTTTTGAATACCATTCAAATTTTCTTTTCATGAATTTCTTCTTATGTAATTCATCAATCCTATTTCATTTGTACCATTTAACAATAATCTTGATCTTCACTCTTCAAATTTCAGTTTTCAATTTGCCACTTTCAATTTGCGAATTCTCTTTGCAATTAATGTGGATATTTACCAATAAATTTAATTTTATTTTTGATTTTCGAGTTTGATTTAAGGTTGAACCCAAGGCTATATAACGTAATAGCTAACTCAATCATATTCATATGTTATCGTGAATCTAATTTCAATCACCCATTGATTAAACCAAAGTTCTTTTCAATTCCATATTCTAATCTTGTTCTTTCTAACATTGTTTATAGTATTTTTCGTTAACCTCATCAATATCTGCTTAGTCCATTCTTTTCATCTGCCTTGTAATTTTCAAAAAAAACTTACATTTTTCAAATTTTGTTATAGACCGAAAATAGATTTTTTCGGTTTTCTCTTCAAATAATTGAAAGAATGATACTATTATAGGTTTATTATATTATATAGCATATAATCATGCTATAGCCGAAAATTATAAGTTTTGAGAAGATTGAATATAACACAAATAAATTTGAATGTAAGTTAAATTGCTTGTTGTTTTTAATAGCTATTTAATGAGAAATCCAATATTGCAAAATTCACATTGAATGATTGAAAGAACAGAAAAAGTCATTCTTTTCAATTTCGAATATGTTTCATTGTATTTATAATTATATGGCAAATAAGATATTTAAACTTGATTTTTGAAGGAAAATTCACAAAATCGAATAAATTCAAATAATTTTTATTCAAAAATAAACTAGTTATTTGAGTTTAATACTAATTATCTATTCAAACTACAAAGTTTGTAATTTAAAATATTTTGTGAGATCAGATTGAATTAATTCAAGGTTCTTTTCAATTAATATTAATGACCATATTACGCATTTTCGAACATTCTAAACCAAATATATAAAAATGGGAGACGAATGTTAAATTTGCTAGACATGGGGGAGTTGTCTGCAAAGTTTTATCTCTTATCTCTAACAAAAAATTAATTTTTAAAAAAATGACCGAATACGTTTCACAGCGAGAAAAAAATAAAAGGTAAGATAGAATTTTCTAGACATAAAGAAGCTGTCTACCAAGTGTCAGCTGTTACTTCTTCTCAATACTGATATAAAATAAAAATCTTTATTATTTATTTAACCTTTATTGTTTCATTAAACTTCATTTATTTTATATTATAGTTTTATTCTTTTAGCTACTTGTAAAATAATCTAATTTTATATCATCATTTTACCGGATTATTCTTCAGTACATCGATTGTGTATCTAAAATAATATCATTATCCTTATTCTGTTTTTTCCAAAATTCTTTTAAATATCTTTTTTGGTTGATTACTTTATACTTGTTATTTTTATTTTTTAATTTCAAAAAAAAAAATTTGGTGATTGTTCTATTCTGTTACAATGTGCATTATCATATTCTAATGAATTATTCATTACATACATTTAAAAAAACTTGTTAAAAATGAAATTAAAAAATTATGTTTATTATTACGCTGTGAATGTGTCAACAGCGGTCATGCCTGTATCTGTATCCCATATTTGCCACAACCTTTCTGTATCTGCATTTGTGTATTTCGGTTTCAGCTGATACATTTGATTTGGCGTGTAATTTGTTCCAGTTAATGGATTAATTGGGAGATCTTCATGCGGTGTGTTATTATTGTACTCCAAATAAAGGCAGGAATAGCCTGAATGCTTTGGCAGCGCTCCAATGTCGGCCGGAATCTCTCAATCTTCCCATTTTGGTAGGGAGAATGAGAGTCTGTATGCCGCCATTGGACGCCCCAAAGATCAAGTAGATCTTGAAAGGCGCCCCTATTTTCTGAACCGTTGTCGGTCCAGAAACAATAAGGGGGCCAAATTCAATGAAGGCGGAAGCCGCAACGTTCGCTGTCGTCGCTGCCAGCATATCTGGTATTTGTATACACGCTAGGACTTTGCGGCTAAAATCGTCGATTATGCCATAAATATACTGGCCACGAACACCCCTAAAATAATGAACATCTGCGTGCCAGATAAGATTGGGTGAAAGCGCCCAATATCTTACTGCTGTTTCTGGCCCGGCATGCTCTAATCGCGTCTTGGTGAAATGATTTTCTTTGAAGTATCTGCGTACTTCTCTATAAGATACATCAATTTGTTGTAATTTCAAACGTTTCCATTGTTTTGTTTGACCACAGGGAAAGGCCAGTGGTCATGTATCACAGCAAGAGCTTTGATTTGGTCGTAGGGATTGACCCTACGACCTTTCTTGCCTTTAGGCAATGGGATATTCTGTAAGCTAAATTGATTTTGTAAAAAAGATTTTGAAACATCTAAATATTTGAAATCATTTGATTGAAGGGTTGGGGCGATGGGAACACGGGTGCAAGCTTCTTCCCATGTCATTTTACCTTCTTCAATCTGATTGGAAATACCAATTAGGTAAATTCGATCGACACACCCTTTGTAAGGATTCATTCTAATGAAGTACGTTAACAATCAAAATATTTTATAAGTGTCTAGTATGGAATTCAAAAGAATAAAGAAAATGGTAACGTAAATAAACGTATTATGAAATAATTTATAATTAAAATGAAAAAAAGAAAAAATAATAAGTAAAGTGACTGGAAATGAAAATTAAAATCAGTAAACAGTTTTATTTTTTTCTCGCTGTGAAACGTTTTCGGTCATTTTTTTAAAAATTAATTTTTTGTTAGAGATAAGAGCTAAAACTCGGTAAACAACTTCTTTATGTCTAGAAAATTCTATCTTGCCTTTTATTTTTTTCTCGCTGTGAAACGTATTCGGTCATTTTTTTAAAAATTAATTTTTTGTTAGAGATAAGAGATAAAACTCGGTAAACAACTTCTTTATGTCTAGAAAATTCTATCTTGCCTTTTATTTTTTTCTCGCTGTGAAACGTATTCGGTCATTTTTTTAAAAATTAATTTTTTGTTAGAGATAAGAGATAAAACTCGGTAAACAACTTCTTTATGTCTAGAAAATTCTATCTTGCCTTTTATTTTTTCTCGCTGTGAAACGTATTCGGTCATTTTTTTAAAAATTAATTTTTTGTTAGAGATAAGAGATAAAACTTTGCAGACAACTCCCCCATGTCTAGCAAATTTAACATTCGTCTCCCATTTTTATATATTTGGTTTAGAATGTTCGAAAATGCGTAATATGGTCATTAATATTAATTGAAAAGAACCTTGAATTAATTCAATCTGATCTCACAAAATATTTTAAATTACAAACTTTGTAGTTTGAATAGATAATTAGTATTAAACTCAAATAACTAGTTTATTTTTGAATAAAAATTATTTGAATTTATTCGATTTTGTGAATTTTCCTTCAAAAATCAAGTTTAAATATCTTATTTGCCATATAATTATAAATACAATGAAACATATTCGAAATTGAAAAGAATGACTTTTTCTGTTCTTTCAATCATTCAATGTGAATTTTGCAATATTGGATTTCTCATTAAATAGCTATTAAAAACAACAAGCAATTTAACTTACATTCAAATTTATTTGTGTTATATTCAATCTTCTCAAAACTTATAATTTTCGGCTATAGCATGATTATATGCTATATAATATAATAAACCTATAATAGTATCATTCTTTCAATTATTTGAAGAGAAAACCGAAAAAATCTATTTTCGGTCTATAACAAAATTTTTCAAATTTCATATTTAAATTGATATATTTCATGATATTTTTTTCAATTTTCCTAATTTTTTTATAATCGATGTGGCTCTATTTTTTATATCCTATGTAACTACTATCAACTTTACCATAATATATCATGATTCTCAAAATTTATTCAAATTCTCAAAAAATTATCATTGGTCTTTTAAAATCATATATTTCTAAGCAATATTCCTGGCACAATTTTAAATATCAACGACCAGCTGTTTCGCTCATTAATTGTGGATCATTTATCATCTCAAAATGCTTTGCATGCTAGCAAAAATACAAAGAACGCCAATATTCATTGAATGCATCACACTTGTCCAATTACAAAGCCTGGTATCGAGTTCAAATAATCGTCATTATTTAATTTTAGCTATGAACCTCTAAATGTTCATAGAGCTTGAAACTTTTTACTTGCGAATTTTGATTTCACAGTTCATTAACTCCATAAAAAGAAGCTTTTTCTTATTTCTGAAATTTCAAGAAAAAATTTATGTCGGAGGTACCAAGAGCTGTTTTGATTGGAAATTCAGGCGTAGGCAAAACATCCCTTGTTCACCGCATGGCCCACGGAAGCTTTCAATCAGATTTGGCCCCTACAATCGGAGCAGGAGTTACTCCGATGTCAGTTAAAATCGAAGATAAGGAATATATGATTCATATATGGGATACAGCCGGACAGGAAATTTTTAGAAATGTCGTTCCACTTTATTTTCGCGATGCAACTTGCGCAATTTTAGTTTATTCTTTAAGGGTGCACCCGTATGTACGTTTATTTGAGAGGAGGAGGAGGATTACCCTCTCAATTTTGAGGGATTCGTTAGTTTATTTTCTCGATGAATATGCAATAAAATTTGATTTTTACCTTATCAATATACTTCATATAATATACACATGTTCATGTAAAAACTTTTTTCCAAAATCCTCAGGAATTAAGGGATTTTTGAATTTTAAGAATTTTTTTCGAATTTTTTCGAAAAAAAATATTTTCAGAACAGCCTTAACGGCTAAGATTTAGGAACAATGTTAAGTATCAAAAAGAAAGGAGGTCTGATATAGACAACATATATCGTTGAAGGTTGAAAAAATCTCTAATATTTGAGCCCAAAATTTCAAATTTTAATTTTTTGAAAAAAGAGGCCACCCGTATGTACGTTTATTTGAGAGGAGGAGGATTATATTTTTGAAAGGGTGAAACATTATGAGTATGTTAATTATATAATAATATGTATTATTATAAAAAAGAAAAAATAAAGCACGTTAAATTTTTTCTTTCTTGATTTTTTACAAAATCTACTTAGAATTATGCAAAATATGACTAAATAATTATAAATTTCAAGTTAAATTTTAATTTTGATAAATAATTTAAATTTCAAAATATCAAGTTCAGTTCGACTATGTATGTAGTAATTCCTCAATAAAGTGCCAAAACCCTATTAAAATATATGAACATTTTCAACATTTTAATGTTTTTATTTAAAAATTTGTTGGAATATGAGCTTCAAACAATTATTATGTAAATAAAAATAATTAAATATATGTATTTATTCGTATTACAACCGTAGTAAGTCGATTCTTCCTTTCTTCTACTGAGTTTTGAATTTGATTTCGAATTGTAAAGAGATTCAAAGGGAAAATACTAGCGGATAAAAACTACCTCCATGAAAGGGTCATAATGGACTCAAGTTGTATTTTTTGATATTTTTTTGCTTTTCGAGCCTAAATAGGTAGCCAAGATAATGCCTAAAAATAAGGTTCTAAATTCTGAAGTTTACATGATCCTCTCGTGTGCACCCTTAACCGACGAAGAATCATTAGGTGAACTCGACGAATGGCTAAAAGTACTTAAAACACATAACGAAGGTGATGTGCCTCTTGTTGTTATTGCAAATAAATGCGATTGAGATATGAATCCTTCTTTAATTACAAGAGGCAAAAACTGGACACAAGCTCACAATGCTCAGTTCTTCTTTACTTCTGCATATTCCAGTCAAAATATACAAGCGGCTTTGGATGTTATTGCGCAAATCTGCTATAATACGAATAACAACCACATAGAAAGATCTATCCCTATACAGCATCAAAACAAGAAGGGCTGCTGCTAATTACTTGACATTTTACTAATCGCTTTTAAATATGTATGTATTTATTATGTAAGCTCTATATCTATTTATTCACAATTTCCCAAAATAACAATATTTTACACCTTTAATTGACTTTTGAGATTTTACATTTCATGTAAAAAATTTCAGATTTCTCCAAACGAAAACCCATACTTATTCGGTTTTCAGTCTGAATATAGCTATTTTCATTATCTATTTACCCATTATTCCTCCAAAATTTTATAATTCACTCTCAATTTTAAAGATTAATCACATTTAAAAAAAAAAAAAAAAAAAAAAAAGGTAGTGGGGCTTCCAGGGCTGCGCCCCTCTAGCCCCTGAAGATGTTTAGTATAAATGAAGTTCTTATATACGGGTCTTCCAGGAGCTTTTCACAAAATATATATGTTTTCATGTTTTGTCACTTTTCTGTCACTTTTCAGGTAAAAACATTTTTATTATATATATATAAAATGAATTTTACAAAACCACCGTTACCCTTCTTTGGAAATAAGAGTAGATGTAAAGATATTCTATTGAGAGAACTTAAGAAACTACCGAATGGTCTAACATTTGTAGATTTGTTCGGTGGAAGTTTCTATATATCTCATTTGTGCCATACTGTATTTCCTGACTCAAAGATTATATGCAATGACTTCGACAACTATATGAACCGTCTCAAACATATACCAGACACAAACAAAATATTGAAAGAGTTAAAAGAAAAGATACCTATAGGTAAGATGGAACGTATACCATTAGATAAGAAAAATACTGTCAGAGAGGTTTTGAAAAAAGCAGAGTATATTGACTGGGATAGTATATCTTCTAGACTATTATATAGTGGTGCTATAAGAGTTCATGACATTGAAACACTTATGTCAAAAGTTTTATATCTTAACTATACAAAGGTTTTCAAAGAGAACATAGAAAAATATACTGAGGGTATAGAGTTTGGAGATGTCGTTGGACAGAGTTGTATGAAAAATATAAAAACAAGGAAAATGTTTTCTTTATAGTAGACCCGCCGTTCTATAACACATGGGATTTTCAATACCAAGTAGACTGGACTTTGAGAGACTCTTTAGAAACTTTAGACGTTTTACATAACCATCCATGCTTTTACTTTACATCCGATAAAAGTGGTTTGGAAAGTGTCATGAGATGGTTAGAGGACATACATGACTATGATTTTAGATACGATAAGATAGAATATGAGAGAGGTCCTATAAACTGGAGAAAGTGTCATAACAAAGAAATTTTATTGGTAAGTAAATGTGGTTTGAAATAGGACTACTTTTTTAGGTTTTTTCCATTGTGTCATTTACTTATTTGACGTGGCAGAAAGATATAGAGAATATGAAGATGAACCAATACCAGCAAATGTTCAGCATATGTACTCGTAAGAGATATTTTTATCTAATATTAAATGGACGCACAGAACTTAGCGAATGCACAGCAACCTGGACAACCAAACCCAGAGAATATTCAAATGAAGTTAGAATACAAACTGCAATGGCAAACTATGTCAAGTGCCAACAGATGTACAAATGCAAACTGCCATGTCAAATGACGCTGCGTTAGGCTTACCACCATGGTATGCAAATATGAGATGGAAAGAGTTTTATACAAACCCTGAAGTGGGATATAAACAACTCTATGCAGATGACGCGAACACAGGAGTTGACCCAGAGTATGTTTTCTACCAGAGGAGAAATAGAATGTATGAGCTCCAGTTAAAAAATGCTATGGAACTCAACAGGAAACGTAAGAGACTAGGCGGACATTAGATTTTTACAATAGTAAAATGGGTTTCTTTGGAAGAATAGGAAACTTCTTTCGAAATGTTGGAAAGGTATATGGAATGGAATAAAATCTGTCGGAAGAGGAATTTGGAACGGAGTCAAAAATATTGGTAAAAGAGTAGGTCAGTTCGTTGGTATTATACCTAAAGACCCTGAACCAGAAGAACAAGCTCCTGTTATACAACAGCCTGAACCTGCACCACAGTCTAGTTGGCAACCAAATCCAACACCTCAACCGTATTAAAAAATCATATTTTTACCGTTCGATAGTAGTTGTATATGAAACTAAGTTCTAAGTAAAACGCGTGGTATAATGGAATTATTCTCTTTCTTCCATCTGTAGTAAACCATACTTGAAAGTCTGAAATACTTCCACTTGGTGGTTCGTATAGCTTTGTAGGTTTTTCGTAAAAGTCATTTGCCAAGCATAAGAAAGAGTTTTGGGCGCCAGAAAATGAAGCATGAACAATAATAGCAGCTGGGTCGAAAACATCTTTAAATAAATATGGTTCATCTCTTGCATATCGACTGTAAATATTTGCTAAAGGAAGTTCGACTTTCTGATTTAACATTCTTTGCAAATAATACCATGACATTGCAGTGAATTCTGTATATATTTGTTCGTCTTTCTTTGGATTGTCTTCGTAGATTTGAAATGACACTTGTGAATTTTGTTTGTCATATACAATTCTCACATAAAGTGTGCTCTCGGTATTTGCATATTCATCAGCATATTTTGCATAACATGAATTTATTTTATCTTCTATATTTTTTAACGCAGTCTGTAGAGAAGATGAAAGGTCAACTTGTATTAGCTCAATTTCTTCCCACATTTTTCGTTTCCCTTCAGATATATAATCTATATGAAACCTTACAATAAATGGAAAACTTTTATCTTCTACAGACACAAACTTCATTCTACGAAAGCCAATAGCTTTTTGTGACAGATGGGTCTCTTAGCCATCTTAATGGGTAGTCAAAACGATAGCCTTCATGCTTTACGGTCTTGTCTCAAACTTTTGACCGACATTAGTAAAAAGTTCATCTAATGGTTTAGTTGTAGCAACTCTTGAATTTTCTTTTTCTATTGGAAGCATATTTTATCTAGAATAAAAATTCAAATGAAACAGCGTCTATGAGAGAAATACAACACAACCGACAACTCATTATGCAAGCTCTAAATAAGAACACAACAAACTTTTCAAACTATTCTAAGATATCTGAGTCATTGAAAGAAGGAAACTTAAAACTGACATTAAACCCAATGACAGATGAGTTTCTGTTTCAAGACAATAAGAACCATACTGTCTGTATAAATCCAACAAAAGGAACTTTAAACGAGAAACCTATAAATGAACTTCTTTTTGAAAACAGATGTTGACAACAAAGCTGACAAAGAATATGTAGACGATGCAATAGCAAAAGAAGAAGAAAGAGCTAACAATGCTTATGCAACAAAAGAACATACTCATCCTGAACTAGCAGACAAAACATATGTTGACAATAAAATGTCAAGTGAAGTGACAAGAGCTGAAAACGAATATTCTAAAAAGACTCATACACATTCTATATCTGAAATAACAGACTTACAAGAAACCTTAAACAGGAAAAGTGCCGTTGGACATACACATACATCTTCTGAAATAACAGACTTAAACGTTAGCCTTGAAAAGAAAGCAGATAAAACATATGTCAATGAAATATACCAAAGTTTAGTTGGAACAAAAAATATTGAAACTATTGTTGGTGACTTTTCTGTCAATGAAGAAAACAAATATTTTAGATGGGAGTTTGTACAGTCCTTAAGAAATGGTATACGGTATAAACTCATTCCGAAAAATAACAATGAAATGTATGTAAGCTATAAAAAGAACGATGGTACACAAGTTAAAGTTCCATTAGACAACAACTGCTACTTAAACTTATATGGAGACGAACAAAAGAAATATTTAAGAGTTTATGAAATGACAGATATGACATTGCCTGACCCAGCTCCAGCACCATATTATTATGACTATGGAGATGACGTCAGAACACCACATGTAGATGAACAAAAGCTAACATTATATTTAGATTTTTATAGATATAAAAGATATAATGCAATAGAAAAAACGAGAATAGTATACTATTATGAAGATGACAGAAATAAATATTATAGTCAAGACTTTACCTACCCTGAAAACATAAGATTTATATTATAAAAAATATTCTGACACAAACCAGAAGAAACCTGAAATAGTTGCACTATATTTTAAGTTCAAAAGAGACAATCCTATAATATCTCATATGTTTGATTTAATGAACCCAGTAGGTTCTATTTATACATCTATGGAAGCAAGAGGTCCTCAAGTAATGTTTGGTGTTGGTGCATGGGAACAAATAGTCGACAGGTTTTTGTATTGTGCAAACTCTTCAAAGGAAACAGGTGGAAGTAAAACGATTTCAGGTGAAAATTTACCTGCACACAGTCACTACATAGATTTAAGTACATCTCAAGCAGGTTGGCATAAGCATAGATATTGGGATTGGTCAGGAATGACAAAAGGTAAAGGATATGATGTTAAAGACGACGTTAAGTTTGCTATAAATTGTTACTGGATGACACTCAGGGAGAAGGAAACCATACACATTTCGTTTCAGGATATACGCAAACAACGGGACAAAGTAAAGAATACATGCCACCTTACATGACAGTTTACGCATGGTATAGAATTGCTTAGTCGTCATTTTCAACTTCTTTAGCATATTCGTCAGGAGTTGTCTTATATTTGTTAGGAACTGTCTTTGAAAGTATACCACCTTGAACTTTGACAAGTTTGAAACGAGGTCTGACAATAGTAGTTTTATCTTCTGCTTGCAGTCTGTACATTTTGCCATGTTTGCCTAAAACTTCATAATATTCTCTTGTATACTTTCTTCTATTTTTACGAACACGAATGTGAGTACCTGTCGGTTCCCATTGTTGTCATAGTCAATAGTATTTTCATATGGGTCGCGTTTAGGTATTTCTATTTTTACTTTGTCACCTTTCTTAAGTTTGAAGCCTGGCATTCTTTCTTGTTTGTCTCTTTTGACTAAATTGTTAAATATAAAGTCTTTCTCTAAGTCGGGTTGTTTTTCATTTCTTCGGGGGAGTGGTTTCCCAAACCTTTTTGTTTACGGCTATTGTAAATATTTAAAACTTGTCTCATCTTTGCCATGGAGAAGTGCTATATTTGTCGTCATATGACATTTCATCTACCTCACCACCTTGTGGTTGATTTAAGTCTCTTAAGATTTTTATACAACTGTCAATGACACCAAGAGCAGAATGGTTTTGGTCGACAATGAAATATTGGTTTACATTTTTTGAACGCAGATAGTTTTTAATATCGTCTGATTTGAAAGAACTTTCACAGTCAGATGTCAGTTTTGTTGGATGGTATTTGTCAACGAATATTGTCAAAGCTGCTAAGATATCTAAAATATTTTGGACTGTAATGGTATGGCTTCACAGTATCTTGTGTTTTGACCGACAAATATTAGCCAGTATGGTGGTCCATCTTCTCTATACCTCGGAATGTTTTCCAAGATATCCATAAACCAAGCATTTGGTGTTGAACTAAAGATTTTTATCATGAGTGCTTTCTTTGTTGCTTAGAAACATAGGGGTCCTTGTTGGATTCGTCATTTTTTACCCATAAGAAATGGGTTTATTTGGCGCATTAGCAGGAGTTGCATCCAGATTTTTGCCCGCAGTGGGAACAATAGCCAGAGGTGTATTTGGAGTTGGAAGGAAGATTTTGAGTACATTAGGTATACTTAAAGAGAAAGCACAACCTATTATACAAACTGTACAGAAAGGTTGGGATGTAGCACGAGATGCAGCAAATCTTATTCCAAATCCTGAAACAAGAGGAAAAGTTCAAGGATGGATGGACAATGTAGGAAGACAAGCAGGAAACTATTATAACAAAGCAAATGACTACTATAACCAAGCAGGACACTATATGGACCAAGGTGAAAGATTCTTTAACAGAGGATATAACCATGCACAACAATGGGTAAACAATAACCAACCTCAACCGCCTCAAACGTGGGGAATGTAAAGTTTTTTACTGAGATGAAATGAACAATACAGCATTGAGACAAATGGGTTCAAGATGGATTTGTCGGCTTCCAGCAGTTACACAACCACGTGTTTGTCAAGTTCTTCCTATACCTCAGGAAGTTTTAGACCGACTTAAAAAACCTAAACAACCAGTTGAAAACAAAACAAACTAAAATTTTTACTGAGATGAAATGACCGAAGAAGTTGAAACGGTAGATTTGACACCACAAACAAAAAGTTCAGAACCATTGTCAAAACCTGTCAAAGAACTTACAGATGAAGAGAAAAATTCAATAATAGAAAGTGCCAGGTCTGGAAATACAAACCCTAACTACAAAGTCACTTTTCATAGAAATGGAACGGCAAGTATCTCAAAAAAGAAACAGACTCTCACAAATAAAATATTGAAGTCTGAAGGAGCTTTCGAGACAACAGATGGAAAAGTTTACTTCACTGACCAACAGTTCATTATAGAACATCTCATTGACTTAGAGTCGAAATATTCTAAACTTTACAACAAACACAAAAAGTTGAAAGGAAAACAAAAAACAAATGGCATATGATATTTATGAAGATGTTGACGACACAACTGTTCCTGCAGGTGAGGTAAAGTCAGAGGAACCGAAAAGTGACGAAAAACCGATAGAAGAAGAAAAACCAAAAACTGAAGATAAACCAAAACCAAAGTTTAGTTTCCAAACTAAACCAAGTCAACCTTCATTAGCTGGTATGGGTTGGCGTCAAAGACTTATGGCAGCAGGCGGTTATGTAAAGTAAAGAAAAAAACATTTTTTTATTTTTATAAAAATGCCCCCGTATAGAATGGATAGAAGGTCTGCTAGAATAAAAGCAGAGTTAGAAAGATATGGTTGGAGAGTTTCAAAGAAGTTTAAATATAGGAAGGGAAGACCCATAAAAGTCTATGACAAATTGTCTGGTCTTCGCTACGAAATGGATTTGGAAACAGCACGTGCAAATTATCCAAACAGACTAGAGAGGTTAGAAGAAGAACGTCTTATGGACATGCCTTTCGATGTTAGTGAACCTCAAGTTGAAGGACACGACGGCTTTGCCAGATTCTACTGGAAACATGACGAACAATTGCATCCTTTGAGAAGGAAAAAAGGAAAAGGTGAAGACGCACATGCTCCCATGGAAAGAACAAGATATGCATATGAAAAGTATCGTGAAGTTAGAAGTCAAATTACATCTGGTCGAACCTTTACAGTAAACTTTGACGAAGGAAAGAACAAAGAAGGCTTCATGGGAGTACTTGCTGCAATTCAAGACGGAAATAAGAAAGGATACAATCTCAGATTGACCATAACAGATTTGGACGGTCATATATACTATGCGCATGGCAATGTCACAACAGCTGCAATGCTTCTTGACGCTTTCAAGACTACAAAGAGAGAACAAATGGTTGACTCCGACTCAGACATTTTGAATGCAATTGAAGGAATTGCAAGTGTCAAGTTCGAATGGTACCAACCTAACCCTCAAGCAGTCAGACAACATGCTGGATACTTCCCGTTCATAAATAAGTCTGACATTGACTTGACAAGGTATGGAATTTACAATTCAATTGAAACAATTGTCAATGAACCTTGTATTCTTACATGTCTCAGGAACTCTGGTCTTGTTTCAGAAGAGAAGATGAAGTATCTTGAGTCATGTGTGAAGACAAGGTACATTCTCAGAGGTCAATTGGCAAAAATTGCACCGTTGGCAAATGTCAATATCCGAGTCAGCATACCTACAGCTAAAGGTTCTTCACATGACGACTATGTTGTTGAGTTCAATTTACCATGGTTGAAGATTGTAATTGTCCACAACCACTTCATGTTGAACGAAAGTCTTACAAACCCATTCTTTGGTAAAAGTAAGTGCAACATTGTCAGAGCTGTAAACATTCTTTTCGAGAAAGGTTTGTTGGAACCAATTCCAGATGACAAGCTGACAGAAACTTTTGTACCAAAAGACGAAACAAACTTTTCATTGTTAGCAAGACCAAAAGTTGTTCCAGACAAAGTTCTAGCACAAAAGAAGTACACAGTTCCAAAAGGAGTTGGATTGTTCGGATACCAACCTGAACCAGAAGAACTTCCAATGAGGTTGCAAGAACTTCAAGATGCTATAAACAAACTCCCATTGAGACATCCGATTGACGTCAAATTGTATTGGAGAGCATCAGAGTTAGGTCAGAAGGTTTTATATGAAACAGGTTGCTTCGACGATGTTTATGAGATAACAGGAGAAGTTTCTCAGAAGATAAGAGACTCGCTTGAATTTCCACAAACTGGACCAATTGGTTGCGACAAGTTCGACTCAGATGAAAAGATATACTATGTCGACCTTAACGCTGCATACATGAGGTTTGTCCAATATATCCCGACTGGAATTCCAAACGAAGATGGTGAGTTCCCGGGAAGGAACTATACAGTTGGAAAAGTCATACAACAACTGTATGATATTAGGAAAGCTTCAAACCCCAAACTTGCAATGACACTCAAATTGCTTATGAATTCGACATGGGGATATTCCATTAAGAAACCTCAAGAGATGAAGAGTAAACATTATGAGAAGGTCGACAACTTTGTTGAAAGGTTTTCTCCTTTTGTTTTGAAGTACGAATTCACTCAAGGTCAAAGTGGCTTAGTAACCACATTAAAACCTATTGTCGAACATTGGTCCTATCCTCAGTTCGCAAAGGCAGTCCTTGACAACTACAACAAATTCTTCTCCGAAGTCAAATCCAAAGTGAAGGTTTACTATGAGAACATTGACGCACTCATGACGAACGAAGAAGGCTATAACAAACTCATTGAAATGGGAATGGTCGGTGAAAAGATGGGTCAATTCAAATTGGACAAAATTTTCACCGAAGTTCATGTCCTCTCCAAGCGTAAGTACTGGGGCATACTTGAAGACGGCACAGAAATAAAACATTGCATGAAGTAAAAAATTTTTATTCGAATTTGAATCGGACAGGTCGAGTTACACCATTCTTGGTCTCAAACTCATATATAACCTGTTTGTTTGTATTTTCGTCGACTATGACACGAGACACGAACATTGACCAAACGGACAAAAAGTGTCATTTCAGATGGTCCCGCAGCCAATCGCATTCGAGCACTTCGAAGAAGCCTTACGTTCCAAGGGAGAGGGTGTCTGGTGCAAGGCAGAGGTCATGAGACTCTACGAGCAGTACATCCTCAATGCCTGGGAGGACAAATCGTCCTTGGAATGGCAATTCTACCAACTCCTCTGGGACGACCTCCTACGCAACTGGGATGACGAAAGAGTCCAATTCAGAGGTCAGGAACTAATTTTGCAAATTACCCTTAATTTAACATACTTATCCAAATAAACACCTAAATTTACTTGGGGTTTCCCCCTAAAATAAAATTTTTTTACTCTTAGAACCACTCGAGGTTCTCCTTACGGTTGTTGAGCTTGTCACCGTCAATGTGTCTGACCCTCGTCTTCTTGTCTGGATTTGGAACCCATTGAATTGCGACAAGCTTGCCCATGGAGATTGAACCGCGATTCCGAAGGTTAAGGTTCAAGTGTCCCAAGTTGTTGAGGACTGGGGTAAGAACCTTGCCTGTCTCCTTGTTGCGGATTTGGTATGGGTAGGGTTGGGAAATTTCGTAAGCGTCATCGGCAACAAGGGTTGCCCAAACTTCCTCTTCTTCGTGTTTCTCTTCTTCATCTTCTTCCTCTTCTTCTTCGTGTTTCTTTTCTTCCTCTTCTTCCTCGACAATTCCTTCTTCAATTCTGTGTTCACGAATTACGGTGTTGCATGTTCTGTCCTTTCCGAGTACCTTCCAGATGGCGTCTATCTCTTCGAAGAAACGGTAGATGAGTCTGGCAAGGTCTCGGTTCTCTCTCTCGTAATTGCGCAAGGTTTCCGTCAAATCATTCAGGCATTTCTCATTGGAAGCTTGGTTCATGAGGACATCGGCTTTGAGCTTGGTCATCTCTTCCATAAGACTACTTTGGAGAGTCTTAACGGTGTTTGTCAGATGAGCTTTCAAATTCAAAATTTGAATTTGAACTGGGCGCTTGTCTGGCAACATTGAAAGGACATCTGCCATTGTGTTCGGCTTCGGTGCTTGTTCGGACATCGAAAAAATGAAGTGGTTTGAGAATGACGGTTTTACTTCAAAAAGCTTGTTATGACAGTTATGTCATACAACAAGTTTAAAATAATATCTTGTTCTTCTTCTGAACGTTTGTTGTCTCTTCCGATAAAAGTTTCGAACATGAGAACCAAAAAACGTTTTTTGAGATTGCGGAAGAGTTCAGGCAAACGTTCATATTCTGGATATGTTGGGAGCAGTTCAAAACATCTGAGCTGACTTTCGGACAAAATTGGGACAATGTCAGAAAATTCATCTTTGGTCGGACTGCTTGAAGGTAAGTCCCTTACATGTAAGTAGCTCTGGTAAAGTCTTCTCATCTCTGCTAACTTCTGGAGTATAGCTTCGTAATTTAAGAGTTTTAATTTTAATTGTCTTATTCCTCTCTTGACATCTAAACGGTAAGTATCCATGAGGTCAAGAGTAGCTTTGGTAGCTTTAAGTGGAGCTATCTCTTCTTTGACTTGTGCAATTTTGGTTGCAATTGTGGTTTGAGCTCCTTCAAGTTCGCCGTCTATGTCGTTCTCAACGCCTTCAACCATAGCTTGAAACTCTTCATCGGTCCATTGAGATTGGTGTGGGACGAATTTAACTTGCTTCATTCAAAAAATGAAAAAAAATGTTTTTACTCAAAACGTTAAGGTTGACTGAACTGGTTGGATGTCGCCTTCACAGGTTATGTAGAACGGCTGACCCGAGAAGTGAAGGAGAGACTGAATTGCCAATTTCATATGGGGTAGGGGTTCTCCTTGTTTGGTATTTTTATCCAAGGACGTTTGTTTAGGAACTTAACAAGAGCTTCTCTTTTGGCGTCCTTTATGCCATCGTAGGCTGTCCCGTCTGGTATTTGAATTGGAATTCCAGTCGAAGTCTCGAGCTGAAGTGTAGACCTTCCAGAAATAGTGGTGAACTTGACCTTGGGCTTCATTACCCTGCGCAAGTACTGCTTAACAACTTCATTTATCTCTATAAGGTAAATTGCCTCGTCAAATCCTTCTGGTATTCCGAGTCCTTCCATCCGACAGGAAAATATTTTCCCGACAACTGGAAAAAATTTTCCCGACGACAGGAAGGACTCTTCCAGTTGTCCGTCCGTAAACCATTCAAATTTTCGAAAATTGAGAACTTTTGGTCGAACTTCAGAAAAAGTTTTTCCTTCCGACAGAAAAAGTTTTTCCTTCCGACAGAAAAAGTTTTTCCTTCCGACAGGACACAAACGGATGACTGACGTTCCTCTTCCTGAACGCCTTCCAAAGCCAGAAGAACCGAAAGCTGCAGAACCGAAAGCTGCAGAACCACAACAGTCTCCTCAGCAACCTCAGTTCCAGCAAGTACCTCCGATTTACTACCAATTTCCACCTCAAGGTTACTACCCACCACAAGGCTTCCCGAACTACCCTCCTCAGCCTATGCCTTACTTCCCCAACCCTTGGATGTTCCAGCAAGCTCCACCCCAGCAATTCCAATCTCAATCTCAATCGAAGAGAGACCAAGACTTCGAAGAAGGTCTGAACCGTTTACGCAAAGAGTATGCTACAGCTCCAATGGAAGAAGACAGGCTCTCAGTCTCTTCCCTCAAATCGACCAATTCGACTCGTACCACAGATTCGGTTCGTGACCGTGAAGACTACCTCAAGCAGTCTGAGAGACTCTTCATCCTACAACCATTTACAGTTGGAGCTCTCAAGAACATGCGCAATTACGAAGGTCAGACACCAGCTGGAGACCGCAAAACAGACATACTCGCAAGAGCAGTCCAACTGGTCAAGACAAAGACCGAGATAGTCGACTTCATTCTTGCAGCTTGCCCATACAAGTAAAAAAATAAACAATTACGAGTTAAACTTTTTATTCTTTCTTTTCTGAGTTGTTTAGAGCTGGTTTCTCTTGTAGAAACCTTTCGTACTCTTCCATGGTCATGTAATTGCGAATTTGGTACGCAATTCCAGGTTCGTTGTTTTTGAACCTTACGTATGTAACGCTTCCATCCTCCTCAGGGAAGTAAGCTGCTAACATCTGACCAAGTTTTCTCGGTGACTCGGAGCTCATAAAAATGTCACTTTTTAAACGTTAAGTTTTTAGTCTTATTTTACCCTTTGTTTACCCTTTGTGTCAAGGTAGTATTGGAGTGCAATTTCTCCAAATTCTCTGTGTCGGAGTTCTTCAGCATTTTCCAAGGTGTTCCTGGAGAACTCAAAGAAGTTGTCAAGAACATACTGCCATGCTGCTCTTCTGAGTTCGTCGGTATTTTGGAAGTGTTGCACCTTCGAGTCTTCGGACATGAAAAAATGACACTTTTTCAGCAAAAATAATGTATAGGTGAAGAGGTGAGATTTCACCTCTTTTCTCACCTCTTTTCTCACCCGTTGAATTTTCATGATTTCATCGTAAATGTTTTGTCGAAACTTCATCGTAATGAGCGTAAATGACCCAAAAATAATGTTTAGGTGAAGAGGTGACATCTCACCTGTTTTCTCACCTCTTTTTTCACCTCATGAATTTTCCCGAAATAAAAAATAAAGTTAGTTTTATTTTTTATTTTATTTATTTTTTTATTTTGTATAAAAAAATAAAATGTCAACAATCGGCACAACAACACTTCAAACAACTACAGCACCAAACTCGTTAGTCATGAATCCAACATCTATGTTGGTAGAGATGAAAAACTTCATTCCTTCTTCATATACTTTTGAAACAGAAATCCAGAAGATAAAGCAGGAATTGTTAACAAGTAATTTAGACTGTACCGCACAGGATGAAACAAATGAACAGTATCTTTATGAAATGCAGGACATTATTGACCATTTACCCAAATTGCCTGAAATTCAGCAGCAAAAACTCACTATTCCCGAATTTGACGAAATTGAAGTGAAACCAACTGACTCAGTAGAAATAAAGAAGTTCATACGAAAGGTAAATTATGAATTCCTTGGTTTTCATTGCAACCATAAAGTTATGGACAAAGATTGCGACATGGTTTATAAGAACATCTCTGACATATATAAATCTGGGGAGTTTAAGACCTACGACAACTTTGTTTCGTTAGTTGCTGAATGTGTATGGCAGATAAGAGATAAAGATAGAAGAGGCAAAGTATGGAACGAACAAATAAGACCCGCTATGTTTGAGATGAAGAGAGCAATTGACGCCTTAGTTGTTTTAGCAGGTAAGGTTTCAGAATATAACGCAAAAATGAACCCACAATGTTCTAAATGTAAAGCAGCAATTAGGAAATATAACTACTCCGTCAAAGAGATAGAAAGAATGCGAAACGACTATGCAGACTTAAAGAAAGAAGCAGAAAAGCCAGCAGAAGATAAAATGGATATGTTAGAATTTCTGAACAAAAACTATCCAACAGCAGAAGATTTCCTATTATCTGACGTCAAGAAGAAGTATAAAGAAACTTTCGGTATCGTTAAAACATTCGATATCCTCAGCGAAGAAATAGAAGCTACGAAATTGTTCAGGATTTCAAATATACATCGTACAATTCATGTAAAACGCTTATAAAATAACAGGTGAGAAAAGAGGTGAGAAAACGGGTGACATCTCACCTCTTCACCTAAACATTATTTTTTGCTGAATTCAGCAACAAAATTCTGAGTAAAATAATTTTTAGGGCATGTGTCAAACCGTTGAGTTTTCACAAAATTTAAAAAATAACGTTTACCATGTAAAACGCTTATAAAATAACTAGGGTGAGAAAACAGGTGAAAAAACGGGTGACATCTCACCTCTTCACCTAAACATTATTTTTGGTCATTTACACTCATTTACGAAGAAGTCATGACAAAGCATTTACGATGAAATCTTGACAAAGCATTTACGATGAAATCTTGACAAAACATTTACGAAGAAGTCATGACAAAGCATTTACGAAGAAGTTATGACAAATTCATGAGGTGAGAAAACAGGTGAAAAAACGGGTGACATCTCACCTCTTCACCTAAACATTATTTTTGCTGAATTCCGTATGAAATTTCATGAATTTCATTAGTTAGAAAAAATAAAGTTAGTTTTTTATAAAATATTTTTTTTATTTGTATGTAAGAACAGAAATGACAAACACTGAGTTTGAAACAGTTAAAAAGATAGACAATGACACCAAATTGGTTAGAATAGGTGATTTAAACGTAAGATACTCAAAGAAATACAACAAATATTCTTTGTCAGACATTATATCTCCATTTGAAAAGAAAACATGGCATTGGGTTGGAATTGCTTCAACTCAGAAAATTTTGACAAGAAATCCTGAGCTTATGATATCGGTAAGATTCTATGGAACTACAGCATATCTTATAGACAAAAGTCTTATACCAATAGTTTTGTTATGGTTAGACCCAGTTGTTGGATATAATTTCATAACATATGGTTCATTCGATACGGAACGTTGCAGTGAAGGCTTACTTTATATCGTTCAGAAACCGAAGGACTTCAATACAAAAAGATATAAGATAGGAAGAACATATAATATAACTCAAAGATATGACAGTACAGTCAATAGAGTCAAGGTTGTGTTCGTTAACGATATGAGAGCTGCTGAAACAGAACTACTTGAAAAGTTTGAGAAAATATATGGTGCTCCCATAAAAGGTAAAGAAACGTTTGAAGTGGATGAGATAGATAAAGCTATAAAATTATTTGACGAAGTTGCTGAAAAATACATGTAAAGCGTTTATTTTTGGTCTTGACTTCAGATGGCTCAGGTAGCTCTATAAGGTAAATTGCCTTGTCAAATCCTTCTGGCATTCCGAGTCCTTCCTTCCGACAGGAAAAAAATTTCTTTCCAACAGGAAAAATTTTTCCATCCGACAAGAAAAAATTTTCCAGTTGTCCGTCCGTAAACCATTCAAATTTTCGAAAATTGAGAACTTTTTGGTCGAACTTCAGGAAAAGTTTTTCCTTCCAACAGAAAAAATTTTTCCTTCCGACAGGAAAAGTTTTTCCCGACAACAGGAAAAGTTCTTCCTTCTGGCATTCCGAGTTCTTCCTTCCGACAGGACACAAACGAATGTCCGACGTACCACCAACCGAGTCCATTCCAAAGCCAGAAGAACCGACAGCCCCAGCACCACAACAGACTAAGACTCAAACACTTACATTTTTACGCTTGACTTTTTACAATTTGAACTTTGTTTGCGTAGATATGAATTCTGAAAGAAGTATGAGGGTCTTGTATGACTTTATACTTCTCCCATAGTTCATGTCTGTCAAACTTACCTGCCATGGACTCTTTCATAAGTTCCATGAAATCGTCTTCGGACAATCCAGGGAAAAGTATTATGTCAGTCAGTATTCTCTTTACATCCTTACTTAAACTCTTTGCTGTCTGTACACAAATGACAACTGAAATGTTAAAGTGTCTGAGCTTCTTGAGAATTCGACACATATCTTGTTCTCTATTCTTTAACAAAGGATGAGAGGCGAAATCATCTAAAATAAGAAGACATCTATGAGGGTATGTCTTCCAATCGTAAGATTGCAATTTCTTCGAAATGTATTCTATCTCTTTCTGTTTGTTTCTGAAGTGTTTCTTCTCTAATATTCTCTGCATTTCCTCATTGGGTCTTTAAACTTAGAATTTATATACTCATTTATAGCATTGTACTTCAAAACTCTTCTTTGGTACTTCTTTATCCAATCTAACAACTCAGTATCCTTTATACATACTAACTTAGACTTCTTTATAATATCTTTGAACGAATTGACGGTTTGGTCAAATTGACCAGAAGTACTACAAATAACAACTAACTCATAGAATGGGTTCTTCTCATCTAGTTCTTGTTGTTGTGCAGCCATTTTAAGATAAGTGAAAGTCTTACCCGACCCAGGTGGTGCAATTAGACCTGTTATACCATTCTGAGCAAATAAGAACTTGTCATGTATAGGCTTTATCTGAGCATTTTCTAACTTCACCTTGTTCTTGTTTAAAACATTCTCAAATTTCTTGTCAATGTCAGCAAACTTTTTTTCTAACATATTTTTAGAAAAATTAAAAATTTTATCTTTTAGGAAATGTCTAGCGATTTCGCTATCTATATTCGAGACAAGCTTTTTCGACAGCAAAACATCTGTAGACCATAAAATCTTACATAGTGTAAACAAGAAAGGTGAATTTGTTCTAAAGTTCTGTTTCTGGGAATATGACAAGAACCATAAAACATTAGGCAGAGAAGTCTTAAAATTTGTCAATGACAGACTTGTTGACAGAGATGACGCCGATTGGAAAGATGAAGTCCAACAAAATTTCTTAGAATGCAAAGAAGACACATGCGCCGTTCTTGAAGATGAAATAGAAAACAGAATAGATGAGCTATTAAAGGACAAAGAACTTTTACATAAATATGGTTGCGCCAAATTTGACATAACTCCACCAGAGAAGAAGAAGAAGAGAGAAAAGAAAGAGAAGAAAGTAGAAGAGAAGAAAGAAAAGAAAGTAGAAGAAGAGAAAAAAGAACCTGAACCAGTTCCAGAGAAAAAGAAATTTGACATGTAAAAATAAAATTTTATTTTTAGAACATTTCTGGGTCAATGTCAATGTTCTCTTCCTCTTTAGGAGTAAACACTGGCTTAGACTCTAAAATCTTTTTACCCAATTTACCTTGAACTTCAACTATCTTAGACTCATAATATTCATAGTCGTCTGCTTTCTTTGGTTCATAAGGTATAACAAGTTTGTATGCTTTGCCTTCTTTAAGGTTTGAGAACCTTCTGTCAAAACTTTCTTTGACTGCTAACAAACCTTCTATGTCTAAGTCTTCAAAAGTTGCACCATTTTTAGTCACAATAGCAAACTTAACTGGTTCGATGTTCCAAACTTTGCTGAATGAAGACTTTTCAAAATGGTAGAAGTAAACATTCAAATAAGCGAATGGGTCTAGTTCTTCTTTAAGTCCTGACATGTACTTATTTACTGAGATGAATTTTGTCATCTTTTCTATCGGATAAAAAAAATATTTTTTTAAAAATTTACTCAGAAAAATTATTTCTTTCTATATTTGCCATTCCGAACTTCGAAAAGATGTTTTATACCAGCATAGAATTTTTCTCTAGAGCTTGGTCTTATATCGTTTTCATGACAATATTTTCTATATTCTTCATATAAAGCCTTTTTTTCATACATTTCATAAGGACAATCTAACCAGAATAGCGCATATCCATTTTCGTTATCTAGGTCTCTATATGTTTGTGGAATTTCGCTTTCTTCTGTTTGTAGAATTTCGCTTTCTCTATTTAGTTCTATGTCTATATATTGTGGCTTAAAAAGATGTGGGCAAGAAGGGTCTGGCGCTATGTAAAAAGTTAATTTTTCTGTCATCTTTTCTATCGGATAAAAAAATATTTTTTTTAAAATTTACTCATAAAAATTTTTCTTTGTATATACGCCGTTCTGAACATCTAAAAGATTTTTGACATTTGCCAAGAATGTTCGTTTAGAAGCTGCCATATAACCATATTCTTGACAATATTGTTTATACGAATCGTACAATGACCTTTCATCTAATGACACAAAGTCAGTTTCATCTATAAACAGTTCATATACACTCTTGTTTGCTTCTAACAATGTTTGTCTCTCTTCGGTATATGGAATTTGTCTTGGATTGAACTTTGAAATATCTAATGTCATAAAGTATGAGAACAAGTGGTTGTAAAAGTCAGATGTCAAAGTTTCTGCTAAGTCGTCAAAATATTCTGTATCTTGCATATGAGAATCTGACGTTCTGACAACTACATATCTTCTGTCAGAACTTTCTAACTTCATCGGAACAGTATTGTTTGAAACCATAATGAAGTTTGCAACATTTTCACAAACTCTTTGGTCTTTATACTTTCTTTCAACAACTCCAACTTTATCTGTTATAAGACTCTTCAAAGCATCTGAGTTCAAAACTTTTGTTGTATCTATACTTTGAAGTTCATTGCAAACTATAAGTTTCATATTCTCTATTGAGGAGTTAAACTTGCCACAGATGTTTTCTAAGTTTGTCATATTCGGATTCGAATAACCTTCTAAAAGTTTGCATAAGATATCTGTAAAGAAAGTATTCTTACCTGTTCCTTGTTTTCCAATTATAATGAGAGCAGTTTCATTTTTAGCACTTGGATGTTGTAAGATGTTTGCAAACCAACATAAGATATACTCATAAACCTTTTCGTTTCCATTGCATATAATTTCTTTGACATGGTCTAACCAAGCTTCTATAATATTTTCTTTCCATTCTACTTGTTCATATTTATATCCAGTGAAGATAGAATAGAAGTTTGGAGAAGGTGTATAAAACTTTATACCACGAACTGAAAAATCTTCTAACTTTGACAATAAGATATCCCAAGCATCTAACATCTTCATGCCAACTTGTACGACTTTTATTTTCTTAAGTTTCTGTCTACATTCTTGTTCTGAAACTATTGTCGCTCTTGGTTTGTTAAAGACAACATCCCATTCTTTCATGACATAACATTCTGGGGCAGAGTCGACATAAATGACTAAACGTTTCAAATTCTCGACT